CAACGAGTTGCCCAATTCTTCCAACGAGTTGCCCAATTCTTCCAACGAGTTGCCCAATTCTACCAACGAGTTGCCCAATTCTACCAACGAGTTGCTCAATTCTTCCAACGAGTTGCCCAATTCTTCCAACGAGTTGCCCAATTCTACCAACGAGTTGCCCAATTCTACCAAAGAGTCGCCCAATTCTACCAAAGAGATGCCCAATTCTACCAACGAGTTGCCCAATTCTACCAACAAGTTGCCCAATTCTTCCAACGAGTTGCCCAATTCTACTAACGAGTTGCCCAATTCTACTAACGAGTTGCCCAATTCTACTAACGAGTTGCCCAATTCTACCAACGAGTTGCCCAATTCTTCCAACGAGTTGCCCAATTCTTCCAACGAGTTGCCCAATTCTACCAATGAGATGCCCAATTCTACCATTTTTTTTCAAGGCAAATCTCCAGATTTTTTTTCTGGACTTACACAAGTATGATTTAAACACCACACTTTACCAAAATGTTTTTCTAATTTCAGGGATGAACAGATATTTTCCTGGGAGTTTGAAGTGGAAGAAGATGCTGTAGGACCAGAGACTGGTCGTATCATCTGGAATATTGACTACGAGAAAAACAGAGCCACCATCAAGCATCACGATTCACGAGTAACGGCACGATTACAAATTATTACTGAAGATCAGAAAAAAATAGTTCCGGTTTTTAAGGTTAGAATTATTTTCAAAGAAAAATACAGGCCACATTATCTTGAAACGATCTTAGCGCTAGGATGTCCTAAAATCAATGTTAGAAGATAAGAACCTAGGATATTTTATCGCTAAGATCGTTTCAAGAATACGTGGCCTGAACATTCCTACAAATTATTGTAAGGCTTTACCCAGAGCTCACTCTCAGCTATCCATATCACTATTCTGATGGAGCCTGATTGCCAATTCTAGAGCATTCATAGGAGTCAAAATCTGACATTCAGTTACTTCACAATTTAGCATAAACATACAGTAAATATTTTAACTTCTTCAGGGCATTATTAACATGTTCACTGGAAGATTTTACCAATATTATGATGTCATAGATCAATGCTGTCTGTGGGAATGTAGAGACTGATGCCTTATTTTGATTCTGAATACTGATAGTTTAAAGCTGTATAGTTGGCACTGGTTATATAACTATTTAAATATCAATGAATATATCTACAGAATCACCACATTTAAAATAGTGAAAAAACCAGCTCAAAAGCTGTAAAAATATAAACTATTCAAATTCACATTAAGTTTGAAATATAATTCACAGCATGAAAAGATATCATTTTATTAAATCAAAGCTACCTTACATTGCTACAAGTCAGTTTTTTGAAATTCCTTTTCCTTTTTCAATCAGAATCTAATAGAATTGAAGACCAGATGACTTAAGAGATTAAACTTTCCTCACATTTCAAACGACATTTCATCACGAAAGCAAAAAAATTATCTTAAACTTCTGCATGACCTAATTCTATCAGACGTCAATAAAGGACCAGTGTGTGATATTTCACTTCAAACGATCAATGCACTCTACATCTTAAACTAAATTTGATCTGCTGCTTGATGGCAACGTGATTTCAACTTAATCTTTTTTATCACGTCACTGGTTGATCTAATGCACAGCTTGAATAACCAGTCTATTTGATGTTATTTGATATGGTGCACTGCAGTGCATTTAATTTCAAGATTTAAAAAAGCAGGTTTATTCATTAATGCACTGGATGCAAAAAGTAGTAAGACTTTAATGTCAGAATGTTCTTGCTTTCTTGGTATTGAATGGCTTATATAATATTGACTTTTGACTTCACCTAAAGGCTCACCATATTACATAATCAAACTTATGTTATAAATACAGTAACCTCTACAGACAATTGGCTATTATATAAAATACTGGATCAGTAAAAAAGAATGGTATTAATTTTTGACCTAACCTAAAGGCTCACCATGTTACATAAAGAGACTTGTTTAATACATTATTCAATATTGACAGTTATCTAACAGTGACTTCTTTAGCCACTTGACTATAGCATAAAATAATAATTGGTAAATATAATTAAACTATGATGCTATGTAATGTATTTCTGACTGGTATGATATTGATTTTGACTTCACCTAAAGGTTCACCATATTACATAATGTGACTAGCTTAATAGATACAGTATATCTCTAGTGAAAAAAAAATTGATCAGTAGATTGAAGTGATGCTATGTAATTTATTTCTGACTGACATGGTATTGATTTTTGAATTATCAGAAGTAAAAAATTGGTGTAATTTGATGTTAGAATGAGAGAATGAACCAGGCTTTATTTCTCTAGAGGGTTAGTTCAGTATTATAATACAACAAGCATTTAGGAGAGGTGTATGTATGTTCACAGAGAGAGTGGTAATAATTTACATGAATAAATATTAATAATAAGAAAAAGATCACACACAATATTAGATGGTCTGACATAGGGACAGTTTGTACAAAATATACAGCACCGTATTTATCAAACAAGTTTTATTATGTTCCATATTGAGCTTTTACGCAACAATGAAGAAAATTTATTCAATACTTGGAATCTTTTTGAATATATTGAACATATCATAATTTCAGGAATCTACGATATTAAATACAGCTATATTAACTGGTAATAAACAGACGTTCCCGTTAAAAATCTATTCTGTAGATAAAGAAGGTAGTTTACAAGATGTCACCTATAAAACTGTCTGTCATTCTGCTGATATAGAGGTCATCAAGGTAAGACAATCTCGGGAATATTAATCCAAACAAATCTATAAAAAGTTAGCTTTTATAGTCTTCAAAAATGCCATATTTGGCTTCCATAGAGTATATCGAATTTATTGAGAGTAAATGTTTCAAAGCAGCATTCAGATGCATAAATTTACATCTGCTTAAAATACAAAATCTTCATCTGAACAGCTAGATTTAAAAATGGAGACCAATATATTAGAATACTAACAATGATCAACAGTTTTGATTCTACAAAAATATTGCTCTGCTTCTGAGTTCATCAGCAGAATCTCTACATTTGTTAATTGGTATATTTATTACACACCAATTGATGTCTGACTGCTTGTGCACAAGTATGTCTATCAGAAGGTCCACAAGTAATGTTGTTTTTCAATATTTGTACTATTTTTAGGTGGCTCCAGATTGTTCTGAAGTATATCTAGATGGTGATGAGACACAAGGATCTCATAATGTAACTATTATCACCAAGACTGGTTACTATACCTCATTCTTACATCTTAAAGTCTGGATACCAGAGAACAGACTGGATATACAGCTCTCAGATTATAAACTTAATCCAATCAAAAAATGGAAAGTTCCCAATTTGGAGAAGAAGAAAAAAAGAAGGTAAGAAATTTTAGAGCACAAGATCAATCATATAACATTGTATTTCCATTTTGCAAACAACTGAAGATGATAATAACTCATGGGTTGATTGTCTTCAAAAACCATATCAACTACAAAAATGTAAACTAATAATCCATGGTTTTGTTCCCATTTCTAAAACTTGTGAATGTCCCAAATGTGAAATGCAACTATTGTATTAACAAAGTAAAGGTTTTTGAATTTTTCCCATTATTTTTATGAGAATTGGAATATCAGCCTCAAACTAGTTATGTTAGTCTTAGAATGTCTTTGTGTTGATAAAAATATAAACATGAGCACACATTATGTCTTCAAAATTTGTTTTTACAGGGGCCCATTTTCAGCCAAAATTTGTGACTTTTGGGTTGAAATTTTCGGAGAGAAATGTGTTTCTTATCAATGTAAACTTACAAAATATTATATTTTTATCAATGCAATTCTAGGACTAGTAGACTAGTAGTATTAAGCCTGATATTCCAATTCTCTTAAAAAATATCGAAAAAATTAAAAAAACATTTTGATTTGCTCAGACAATAAGGTGTTTTTGAAATAATGTTTTGTTGTGGTTGAAGTCAAAATGAATCTAACCCAAGTTAGCCTTAGCTAAGTTATTTTCCTCATTTCACACTTCATAGGGTTGGACGTGTTCATTTGCCAACATCAGTTCAAAAAAGTGTGATGTAAAATTAATTTCATTGCATCATTATGAGAATCTAAGTATTTATCAGTCTTGTTGAAAACATTTTATCTCTCAGTGGTTGAAGTCAAAGTGAACCTAACCTAAGTAATTTTCCTCATTGCCCACTACATAGGATCAATCCTTATTGGCTTCATTAAAAAGGCGACTGAGTATTTATCAGTCTTGTAGAAAATGAATTTATCTCTAAGTGGTTGAAGTCAGAGTGAACCTAACCTAAGTTGTTTATAATATGGTTTGGCATGAAACTGTGCTCGTATCTAATAGACCATTTAAACCTTCTTTTTAGTACATTCTTCATGATAGTCACTGTATCAGAACACAGAAAATACAGTCAGTGCCAAGTTATTAAAATTACACTGGAACATGTTTAGTTTCAAGTTAAATGTCAACATATTGAAATGTTATAGACATGACAAAGAAAGATGTGACTTTATACATCTGTAGATACCGATACTTGCTTTAAGAGACAGATTTTGAGAAAAACATTGTTATTTATATGGCTCTCCAGAACTGAGGTTGACCTGGATATGTCTGCCCTTCCAATAAAATTTAGCACCCCTGTGCCAACTCAGCACCTCCCCCCGCTTTCTTGTGATTCATAGGAATGCCACTGGTTCAGAGTTGTTTATTAAAATAAGTCTCATATTGATGTGAAATATTTGGCAAATAGAAATCCAGACATATTTATAAACATAGTTTATACAAAATTGACTTCCACTCCCAATCCTGGTGGCTAAATTAAATAGAATAGATATATATCTGTATTAATAATAAATACTACAGCCTACAGCGCACTGCAATCTCTAATATCTTCTTCTGTTCTGTTTGACTTCAGACTTGTTGCTCAATACTTAATGCAATTGATTGGATTCTTTGTAGGCCTAATTCTAAGCGTAAAATACAATTGTGTTAAGGTCGGTCCTAATTTTTGTCTCTAGCCTAAAAAAGGATAATAGAATTTTACTCTCAAACCATTTTATTTTTGAATGACCAAGGATGACTATCCCAATCCTTTCAATCATTGATTTTCCTCATTGATTCTATTGACATTTGGGCTTGACTAATGTCTTTTGGATGTTTATGTGTCATTTTTTTCTCTGATTCTATAAATATTGTTACAATGCAGGTGGTTTATTCCACCTACATCTATTGGTTGAAATCTAGTTCTCTAGTTCTCTGGGTTCTGTGCCAACATCTATTATCACGCTCTTGTTAAAAATGTTTCTGACTCTTTCTTCCTTCTTTAAGAAGAATAGATGTAATTGCCAAGGTATTTTTTAGTCTAATTATTAGAAACAAAATGTTAATTTGTCTTTGAAGCTTTACTCTGATGAAAGATAATGACATGAAACAAAATAAGAAGAAACCACAAATTGAGAGTTTAACATTAATTTTCTTTGAAGAAAACACTTTCCATTAGAATTACTGGCATCATTTTTGAGAAAATGAAGGGTGTGATGATATAAAAATAAAAGACTTAAGTTGGATATCTGCTTCAACATTAGATTGTTAAATACAAATAACTTTATATTTTACAAGGATAACAACTTAGGTTTACAGTCCTTTCTACCTCCTAGTCCTTGACCAAAATCTCCTGACATTGATCTTTCCCGGATTATCCGTACCCATTTACAGCTTGGTCGACTGGCATTATGAAGATAGATGACTTAGCTTAATATAAGATGAGAAATATGAAATTATTAAATAACTTGTTAAAAAGATTAATAATATGTAGAGGATATGTTCTAATGAAATTAATAGAAATTGAAATATTAAAACATGGTGTTACTCCAAGCTTAATATAAAATATAGGCTTAATGAAATTAATAAATAACTTGTTAAAAAGATTTATAATATTAAGAAGCTATGTGAGATATATCCTGTTTTGTTAATTCTGGTATTAAAATAAACATTGAATGGTTATAACAGAAAGATGATGTTTACCAGAATGTGGGCCGTCTGCCAACTTAATATTATATACCTTAAAGATACCATACACTGAATTCTGTTGGGAAAAATTAATTCTCCCATAAAAAATATTTCACATTAGTTTGAATGGGAAACTGGAAGTTGGAAGATATTTTTTGTATTTGAAAAAAAGTGTTCAAATATCTTGGGAGTTTTTTCAAATCAATAAAATTAAAATTTCAAATTTTACAACAAATTGTTTGAAATAAATCGCTTATAATGTATGTAAATTTTTTTAGAAATTTATAAGAATATGTCCAATGGGAAAAATGAAATTGAATAGAAAAGTCACATTTTTTGTAGATTGAAAATTGATCAAATTGGTGTGCTGTTATATGGTATTGCTTTCAGTCATTTGATATGATTTTAAGGGATTGCTGTAATAGCATAAATAGCTCAGCTTTGATACCTATGTCACTTATGAAGATATGAAACTTTGATAGCTGTTTGTCTACAATACAATAAAACTAACTTGGAGACGATTAAAAAATATTTTGCTGGGTCATTAACTTTCTCTAATCAGATAATTTTCAAGTCATGAAATTTGTAATTTCAGCCGTTCAGGCATCAAATTTTAAAAATATATCCATTAGAGAAAATAATACTCAAAAAAGGAGAAAAACGGTCCCTTTAAGTTATGTTTATCATATCTTGTATCTATGTAATAATATGATACTTCAAAGGAACTCATGTAATTTTCTGTATAATATTTAAGCCTTCTTATACACAACTATATGCAAACTTCAAAAGATATTTTTTTCATATATTCTGTACATCTATTCAAGTTTTTAATTTATTTTTTGTCAAAATTAAAAAGTTTCAAGTATTTAAGAGTGTATTTGTTTAGGTATAAGAGTCTCTTTCAAATTTTACCAACAAAAGGATCACAAAATGCTGTTCTTTTAGTTATTTTTACAAAAAAATGGGCTAATGGGTTTAGATTTTAAGAGCAAAAGGGCTGTCATTGAATTTATATTTTCCTTTATATTAATTTTATTGAATTAACTAAGACCCTTGTGCTACAGACAGTACATGCTAAACATCCCTAATGCTAGTGTCTTGGCAGAATTTCACTCATTCCTTAATATGTTACATGTATCATTCAGAGATGTAAAATTTGCGGAAATAAAAATGAGTTGCAGATTCATTTCTTTTCTGGATAAGAAATGTGAAACGTTTCACTGCCTACGCTTCCAAAAAGTTCCGGAAATGAATTCAATAGTCACTTACATCTCTGATCATTGCTTGACTTCATTAGCCCAATCTGGTACAACCTGTCTTCATTAGCCCAATCTGGTGCAACCTGTCTTCATTAGCCCAATCTAGTGCAAAAACATAGAACTTGATTCCGCATCATGTATGATTGAAGTGCGATACTTTATTCTATAAAGGATTGATTTTTAATCTTATTGAATTTGTCTTTTCAGTAAAAGAGGTGCAGATTTTGGATTGTTGACCCATCCTGGTATTAAAGAGTTAAAATCATCCATCGACCATCATGGATGTAAGCTCCGCCTCCAGCAATCTAAAGTTGAAGTCTATGCCAGATTTATTATCCAATCGGCAAGCAGAACAGACTATTTCCACAATCGTAAAGCATATTTACGAGTTACAGACTTGGTTCGGGAACGTTTACGAATCTCTGATACGAAGGTGGCAACTCTGAATGGAACAGTTATTCAAGGTCATCATCAAGGACGAACAGAGATACAGGTTAGTAGGCCAGCCATTTTGTATCCAGTTTTACCAATTTGAGGGGTAGATATGAAGATGTTCTTGTCAGATATGGATTCAAGGTCTGATACCAATAACTTTATCAAAAGTATGACAAAAACATATAGCTTGAAAAGTATAAATTTGTATCCAGTTCTATTTTATTTGCACCTAATGTGCTAAGGGTCAGGCTTTGGTTAGACTTGGCAAAAAGCAGAACCCAGAGTGAAGTGTTCAAGGAAGTTTCTGTATAAAATGTAGAGAGATATGATATCAAACTTCCTGGTGTAGATTGTGGGTGAAGAAATTTAATATTGTCTATTTTTATTGACAGATTACAACATTTTTTCTAATGTTATTTTGTATCACTGGTAGAAATTGAAAACATTAAAAGCCTATTTATAGACAATAACTTAAGAATTCTGTTTCTTTTTGAAGAAATAATTCCAGAAATGACTTGTTTTTTTGATATTTTCTTTCACTCAGTAATTTTATATTCTCTGTTTTTGCAGTCAGATTACAACATTTTGTCTAATGTTTTATTGTTTATTCCATGTAGTAGATTTTAATATTAATGAAATTCAAATCAAAATAATCTTATTTCTAAAGACTATAAAGTATGTTTGTTTGGCTGAAGAAATAATTTTGATAAATCTTTTTTTGATGAAAAAAATAATTGTTGATTTAAGTCTTCTTACATCACTTTAGTAGGTGATGATGTGTCATCATTTTATATTTACATACTTGATTGGTTTAAAAAAAATTAGCATATTTGTAAGAATGCTGTAATCACCATCCAAAACTCTAGGCCCCATTTCACAAAATGTTCTACTGAGATAAAATCTAGATTTGAAGAAATAAAGTCAAGTTAGGGTTTTTATAAATTTACTTTCCCTCCACCTAAATAACGGAAATATTTGGCTCAAAGCCCTCCTGAAATAAGTTGCTTAAATTTGTTATTGCAGGTATTGGCGCCTTCAGGCCGTATCCTGGGAGTAAAAGAGTTGCGTGTGGGTAAGAATAAAGTAACTATTGAGAGATTACTAGTACGAGTCATCAGTGGTGTATCCATGGAGATCTCTAAGGAACCTAATTTACTTGGTAGTTTAACGGCAGTTGCTCATCTACAGGATAAACTTATCACTAAACATCAGGTAGGTCAAGGTCATTACATCCACTGAAATAAGTTGCCGGGAATCCACTACACAGATTTTGGAATTTTGAATTCTGTTCATAAAAAAGCAGTCATATTTTAAGAGGATAACAACATCCTTTCTACCAAACCTCTTGGCACTTTCCTGGAGGAAAGATGACGTATTGAACTTAACCAGACAATCACTCGCCAACCAGGATTAGAAACTATTACAATATTTATTTGAGATCTTTCACGCTCCATGAATTTATCTTTTCAGGAGGGTATTTTGGATATATCTGTCCAGTTTTCCGATGGTACGAGTTTCCCTCTGGAATATATGTCAGATTTAGATTACGACCTCAGCATAACCTCACTCAATGATCATGTGATCGATATTCCTGTGAATTCAACCAATCATAAATACAGTATCATAGCTGTAGATGAAGGACGTGGAGAGCTTGTACGCGTTATTTTAAAGATGGCCGACCCTTGTGTTCGCAGACGTACCAGATACCTAGCAACCAGCTATGTGTATGTGAATGTTGATTTCTCCAAGGAAACAAATTATTTTGAACTTCAAAGTGACAGTAACTATGACAACCGAGCAAGTGAAAGATTAGAAAAGAATGATCTATTTAACAAAAAATTACACCATGTTCCGTACAGCAGTAAAGACGAATATTTTAAACATCAGCATAAAACCAAAAGCAAGTCTATGGATAGGATGTCTGGTCACGAACCTCAAGTCATTCCTGCAGCACGTGCATTGGACAAACTACCAGAAAGCAAACCAAAAAATTCTGAACCCAAAACTGAAGCTCAGCAGCAACCATTAGATACTGGTGGATTAACTCCCCTTGAAATTGGTATGTATGTGTTGTTAGCAGTGTCATGTGTGGCTATACTGGTATTCACAGTGAACTGTGCCGTGTTTATGATGAGGTACAGAAGAAAAAGAATGCCTTCCAAATATGGTAAGGTGAAGAAAGGAGAGTCAGTGAGACAGGCCAATGATTGGGTTTGGATCGGCAGACAAACTCTAGAAAGAAACGCAGTCAACACACGATGCTCTCATGCTCTAATGCCAGAAGAAGATTTCAATGGGAATCGAATGATACGGCCACCAAGTTCTGGTACAGGAAGTAACTCCAGCAGTAATAGAAACAGTACAGTGTCAACTTACAAAGGATCCGAATGCAGCATTCGAATCACTGCAAACCCTCTACCCGATGGAGGACCAGAAAATTCAATGCAGGATGATCCAGAATGGGATTATGAGGCTATGGGTATGACTTATGATCAATTGATGGATTATTTTGATAATTTAAAAGAGTCTACAGCATAAATTTTTAGTCCATGCACCATGCAGTTTTGAGCTATAAACTTTGTAAAACTTGCACGGAGAAGTTAGTAATATTAGGGCAAAGTTACGAGTGATTACGCGAGAAATTCTATTTCTCAAACATCGACATAATATTTAAAAGACTGTAAAGAAATCTAAACGTATTTCTGTTTTGTTATTGTTTGTGCGTCTGCTGACAAAGTGCAGAAGTAAAGGGAAGTAATTCATGGATTACAAGGAAAGATAACTCTTGGATGAAAGTAATTGTAAAGTAGTGCTTAATGACACTCTCAATATTGTTCTGTGATTGTGGTAGTATTGGGTAGAAATTTTGAATTTTTCTATGTGTTTCTTCAACTATTTGTACATATTGGAACGAACGGATACGGAAAGGGCGCCTGCTGAACAAAAGACATTACAAAAATGTGTGGCGTGTAGGAGATCAAAGCATAAAATCCAAAACCACTTAAACTGTTTTTGATTGGTTAAAGTGACAATTTCTCAGGGCTTTTGATTGGCTAGACATAATTGAAACTAACTAATCATGGCCAAGTAATTTAACCATTGAATATTTTGTACTATGTTGTGTATATGTGTAATATTTATGTATTAGAACCTTATTGAGATAGTAGGCTATTGTTTATTATTATGAATTGATATTTAAGCTAGAGTTAATGTATTTAATGTTATATATCGACCTGGCAAACTTATAGATGGTTATTTCATAGTAACTTAAACACTTTGAAATTTAAATTTAAATACTGTAGCTTGATTGGTTGATTAAGAAAAGGTAAAAGTGATTGGTGGATCACATCTCAGTGATGATATCAGCCAATCAAATTCTTTGAAATTATTTATGATATCAATATTTTAGAAACTCTCTGACAAGTTCTACAGAAGAATTTTTAAAGAAGTTTTGTGAAATTAACTCATGATGATTAATTTTATTGAAACTTCAGTGCATTTAGAATTTGATCAGTCTGTGTTCAAACTTTCACAATACATTGATTTTATTTTACTTTCTTTTCTTCTCATCTTTTCCTCTTAAATAATTTTTAATTATCTAAAACTCATGTTAATTACAGGTGAATTATACACAAACATGTACTTTTAAATCCCCAGTTAAAATATTTGTTTTGTTAATGATTTCTTTAATTTTAAGGATCAGAATTTCTGAAGTGTGTTAATCGTGGAGTTGTTCATTTTGTGACAATTAAAGGAAAGACCATCTTAAGTTTGAGAGTAGTTGGTTAAAATGCATATCTGAATGTTGCCTTTTATGATTCCCTTGTATGTGACATCATTCACAGAAAATATATGGGAAGAAGCATAAATGAATAAAGAATTGTAAATAGGCATTGTTATCAGATGGTATTAAAGGTATGAACTATCATGATGTGGTGCACCGTAGTTATTCTGACTGAGAAACCTTGAACTAGATCTGATTCTGATTCTGTTGTTTTATTTTGTTCTGTTTTGTTTCTGTTGTAGTCCTCTAATCCTCATGTAATTGTTAATTCCCCCATGTTCTCACAGTTTGTTTCTGCCAGTAGTAGGGTAGGTCAAATATTAACAGGCTATTTTGTCGGGACAGTGGTGGTAGCTTAACTTTTTTTTTATTGCCAACTGTTGAAGAAATGTGCAGTCTGTAGCACACAAAGCCTCAGTTTTGTCCAATCTAAACAACCGCATGCTTTACCCAAATGGACAAGCCCTGTGGATTTAATGGAAGGAAAGTGGTGATAAACAACTGCCCTGCCTCAAATAGAAACAACTGCCAGTGCTTTTCATCTTTTTAAGTCTCTCTTTCTTCTTTCCAATTCGCAGCAAGACAAGAAATTCTACTGTATGTTCTAGTCTTAAATTTTGTCCATTAATATATGCTCAGTCTGAAAGAACAGATGTATAAATTAATTTGAAAACCCAGTGGACTAATTTTGTGAATTTTAGAAAAGAACAATACGATTTGCATTTTTATCATCTACATGTGTATTTCAATTTCAAGTTTAAAATCACTCTCTTGTTGCCTCTCTTCTATTGTTACTCCACCCTACTTTGTTACCCCCACCCCCTGTTAATTGCCCCGCCCATCATAAAACCCTATATATATATATATATATTAGTGTTCTAATGGAATCACCAATGATTTGTGTTCATATTTCAATATTATTGTATTTATCTTTTAGAGTAATTGTTAGTATTTTATTATACACCCAATTATTGTTTATTATTATTATTATTATTAGTTATCAAAATATACTGTCGCAAACAAGCCAGGGGCTTCCAGATGCATGGACAGCTGACCCCAGGGTACGAGATCCTTAGATCCATAGAGAGCTGACCCTAAGGTATCAGATCCATGGACAGCTGACACCAGGGTATCAGATCCATGGACAGTTGACCATTGCCCTTTCCTCAAGGAAAAATGGGAGAACTTATAACATTGTCGTCTAACAATGCCTGTAGGACTATTGTTGATGGAATTCCTGATATCTCCCTGATATCCTGACTATTATCTTTGGCTTCTGGACCCCTCTTCACAAAAATGTAAACCAAAACCGTGTATCATGATTTTACAAAACAGTTTTACTAGTCCTCTTTCACAGAAATCCAAAGAAAAAAAAATACTGAAATCTGATTGAATCAATCCTCTAAAAATCAATCTTATTGATTGGTTGATCTCTGAAAAACAGAGTATTAATTCTTTGAAATAGTTGAGTTTTTTTTTCGTGAAAATCACTGGTCCATCAGCTTATCCTTCACCAATCCAACGGCAAGATTCAAGAAGATCCGGTAATTGTATCATTCAGTTTCAATTGTTTCAAGGAGATTCTGGTCGGAATCTGAAGGAGAACTGTCGAATCCCACCCTTATCTACCAAAAGGGAACTCTTTTTAAGTTTTGCTGCTTATGAGAATTCGTTTAGAATTTATCACAAAACCTTAAAATGAAAAATACAAGCTGTAAATTGTTTATTGTCTGAAAACTTCTGTTAATAAATTAACATTTCATTCTAAAAGTAATGTGTTATTGCGCCATCACCATTAAAAATCTGGCCTCTCATAGCCTAGTTCTATGAATGATTGAAGAATGGAACCGGGGTCAGGGATCATAATGGATAATGCCACAAAGTTTAGGGATCATTTATTTTAAACTGGACTAAGCAGTTTAGTTCCTAATTTTGGCCTTCGAGATTTTTTTACATTAGCCAACCCCCTCTGAAGCTTACAAGGCCAGGCATAATGGATGACAAAATGCCTATGATTCATTGAAAACCATCAGGGGGACTACAACAGCGTGCACAAAGTAAGACTACTAGAAAATGTCTTGACTCGGAGCACGTGAGTTTTGGAGTTGTAATGACGTCACGTTGCAAACGTCATGACGTCAAACACGTCACGTTAAAGTCGCCATTTTCTGTTGTCATGCAGCATCTTTTTTGTCTTCGATTAAACTAATGTAGGTTTTTTCATTCTTTTATCTTGCATTATGTCAAAATAAAAATTTACAAATGTACCATGTTTGTGAAAATACAAATTTGATACAAAAGTTTCAATTTCGGCTAACTTGATCTAAATGGTAGGCTAGATATTAGCCGCAAAATCCAAGAAATTTGAGTTGAGTCGTCACAGTCAAATTCGAACCAACTAAGCTATCAAGTTTTCGAATCAACAAAAGAAAACACGCGACAAGTACAAGTATAGTCGCAGAAGCAGCCAGAGCCTCTTCAAACCATGGGGCGAGATCCTTACGTTTTAAGTCTGAGATCTCAAGATTAGCTTAAGATGTAGGCTAATTATTCTATGATCTAAAAAAAAAGACTTAAGCTTTAAACTTTTGGCAACTGTCTTGGAGTTGATCCTTAGACCTATTAATTCTACTTACTAAGCTTAATTCATATGATTTGTAGATGATACAGACTAAAAGTTTGGTGCTGCTGGTGGTGGTGTTTGCTTTGTCCTGCTGCAGCCCTGTTAATAACAGAGATAAGGTTTGTAAGCTAAGACTAACTTTATTTAGATCAACCAAATACTTCAGTTTTTCAAGGGATACCCCGGTTGTTTTTGGGGTTTTTTTTTGGCTATCCGTTCCTCTTCTCAAAACGGGAAACCTATCGTCTGGTTCTTTGTCAGTCATTTAAGTACAGGTTCCTGGCCAGAACGATAGTCTTAACCGCTAAAATCAATCTCCGAGCATACTAGAACTTCTGGAATATGAATCGGGTAACTGAAATTATGTGATAAGCATATTATTAGGCCTAGTTACTTTCCTTTTTTTTTTTTTTTTTTTTATATAAAACTTGGTCTCTTTCTCCATTCTAGAGAACCGTGTTTGATCAGCCTTGTCTGGTATCTGCAGATTGCGAAGGTTTTAATCTAGAATGTGTCATTGTTGAAGGGGATGGGTTCGGCCATTGTGTAACGTCGGTGAGCTTGCGTTTTTTTATATTTCTTCTTGCTGACCAGGAATTATGTTCCCTATATGATCAAAACGTTTGGGTTTGTCCATATGGATTAATCATCTTTTCGGTTGGACATTGATAAATATTAACAAAATTAATTGAACAAAATATGTATTTTTTAGCCAAAAGGAAATATCGGTGAAAAGCGGCACATGCGTGATACCCATTATATTTCTCTACCATCTAATGTACGAAGAGAAGATATAGAAACAACAATTTATGATGCAGATATAAAAAATTATGGAAGGTTCAAGAGATCCTCACATAGAAAAGTTTCAACCGATCAAAAACAGGAATATGGTTGGTTTTAGTCTTATATAGTTCCTTCTTCACTCTCCATAGCTATTTGACTAGTCTGAAACTTGCGGACTCTTACCTTGCCCTCCGATGATGATATGGTACCCTCTGGTGTAATCATTGGTATCCATAGATGATATTTATCCTTTCGTCGGAAGAGTAGTAAAGTGGGCTTTTTTCTTCATGTAAAATCCTACATATATCGATAACTGGCATTGAGCTCTATTAGCTGATAAAATACACATTAAGATATTATTGATTTTTATACGCCCACATGAAATGGGGGGCGTATATTGCCGTCACCCATGTCCGTCCGTCGGTCCGTCCACAATTGCTCGTAAACACTCTACAAGACACAATCCTGGACGGATTTTGACAAAACTTGGTATGAATGTTCGTAATCGCCCAAGGATGAACCCTATTGAAAATCAGAAGAATTGAAATATATTTAGTATGAGTTATTGCCCTTGTTCTTGAAAATTCTTTCAAATTTAGCTCACTAAAAGGCATGATTCTTGCTGGATTTTGACTAAACTTGGTTTTATTATTCAGTCCCACGTTGTAGATTGAATATTTGCCTTCTAGAACTATTTGTTTTCAAGAACAAGGGCAATAACTCATACTCAGTATTATTCAGTATTGCGCTAAAGAGTTCAAAAGAAGTGTATGACTGAAGGTTGAATATTTCGTAATGGTGATTGTTACTGTACTGTTAAATATTTTTATTCAAAATCAAAGCTGCCAGTGGGAGTATATTACCTTGCCTGGCAAGCTATCTTATATTTTTCAGGACCTGTCGAGACAGACGTTGGTGATCCAGAATATATTGAGCGCCAGTGGTATTCAAAGGAAACTGGACACAAATGTGTCAAAAATTGTATTGTTAAAAGGTCTTTAAAGGGAAAGCATCGCATTCCGCGTGAGAGCACAGTACTACAAAATATGAACACCAATAACGCCGGTTTGATTAAAAACACCGACTTTGGTGGAGTTGTCGCACCAGCAAACGTTGGAAGATTTCTAAGGAAGAAGGACATAGATAAGGTTCATCTTGCGAAGAGAGACGTTAGTGAAGGTATAAAAGACACTAATTATGATAATGATGATAACAATGACACCATTGATGATGATAGTGTTGCTGATGAAAATGCTGATACTGAGCAAGAAATCGATTCTTTGTTGAACAGTCTTGACTCTGATCGAAGAAAAAGGCAGGCAAATGCACTTTCAAGATCCAAACGAAACGCAAATGACGATATTGATAGAATGTTAAATGAACTGAACGGAGATGATAA